ACATGTATAATACATAAACAGTTTAAGAAAAAACGCGATTTGCATAATTTTTAAAATTAAATTAATTATAATAATAAAAATACATATAGTACCCGACTACAAATTAAATAATTATATTAATGAACAATTTAATCGTTGTCATTATCGATAATTGCTTAATATTGCATTGCTTATGAGGCTTATTTTCTATTTAAGAAAGATAATTTTTAAAATAAAGAATCAAATTATTTAAAATTAAATTAAAATTGAATCAAATTAAATATCTGTTTCGTATTCATATTTTGAAATTTTGTTTCTATAAGACTAAATATTTTCGACAGGATTATCGGATAGAAAAAAAATTGGACTAATTAAGATAATGATTCTCTTTTTTCCACTGGATACATAAATGACTTCCATTATAAAATTTGTTCTTAAATTCTCTTGAGAATATGCTTTGTTTTACAATGCGTCGTAGATTAAAATTTCCTAATGCGCGCAGAACCATCTCGCTAATGAAATCTCTATACAAATTACACCGCTCACGTTTTTTTTTAATAGATTAACTATATATTTTGTTTGCCTTATTTTTATTTTTCGCCTAAGAGTGTTACCTAAGTTTTGAAGAATATTGCAATTATCCTATTATAAACGACGATGCAGCTAGACTTTCCGAAAATTGGCAAGAAACTGAAAGATATCTCAAATGAGATGACTTTCCGACGCGAGAATACTCCAGACTATTATTAGAGAATCCACCAACATCGTGCAGTTATAGTCCCATCCACAGAAATACGCTCGGCAAATGATTCATAATGTAACATAATCGCAATGGTATTACATGTAGCGCATAGTGATTCAATCGTCATATCTAAAGATATGTAATATACATGAAAATTGAAAGTATGCACATCCGTGTGCACTATAGTTGCAATCACACTGCATATATCATGAATAAATGAATTCTTTTTCTTTTTTTTTTATCTATTTTAAATGTATAATGAAAATATAATAACGTCAACAATATAAAAATATAAGCGTGAGTGATCGAAATAAAAAAATATATTCAAAATATATTCCAATATAATATTAAATATTTAATATTATATTGGAATATATTTTAATAGTTTATTTAATAGCGCTTGCCTATATTGCATAGGTACTGTACTTATAATTTATAAAGTTTTTTATGAAAGTAATTGTTACAAAATAGACTATCATGAACTGATGTAAATGAGAGAGGATTGTAAGCTACGGTGAAAATTGCAAGGCAGACGCTGGACTAGAATCCAGAACTAACAGCGTGTGAAAGAATAACAACCCACTAAGGCACAGTTCCATAACTCACGGTTAACTCTTAACTGACTCGAGAAAAAAATGTACATATTTTATATATAATTATATATGACTGTATATAAAATATGTCAATTTTTTATATAATTATACATAAAACATTTTTTTCTCGGAGAGGTTCAACTTATTCCTCATCTCTGTCCAATTTTTGAAATTGAAAGAATTGGGAAAAGATGAGGAATAACTTGAACTTCGATTAAGATTTAACCGTGAGTTGTGAAACTGGGCCTATAAGAAATTCTCAAGCGAATCCTAACCGGTATGCACCATCGGTCCTAACGGGTCGAATCTCACTCGGTGCTCCGTTGAATTCTGCGCAGCTTGCAACAGATCGGAGAAGAATCTGTGTCGCCTTAAAGCTAACTCGTCGCGAGCGACGGGCGTCGCCGGCGGTTCCTGCATGCCGCTGCATCCACCCGAGACGTATTCGCCGTCGTCTTCCTCGGACAGCCAACGTGGAATCGAGGAAACTACGGAAATGACATATGATACGTCGAGCTTTTATTCTTAAAAATGCACGTCTTTCATTCTTGAAGAGTCTTGCGGTCACACATGGCCCGCTCTGCCCCGCCCATCAAATTAAAGTTAATACTCCTATATATACATATACAATTGACAAAGTGTAGTGTCAGATCCCCCACGGAAATTATTACAAATCGATGTTCTTTCTACTGACGCGAGTACTATGCTAGCGTAGAATATAGGTCTGCCCACAAAAAGAATCTATCCATTTCTATTTACAAGACAAAAAACATTTACACGCCGTATTTAATTTCGACGCATACAATTTTAACGCATACAATTTTATGTAATTTGTGATAAAAATAACGTTATATTAGTTTACAAAAAAGAATTTTTAATTGCAATTAATTTTAATGAAACGGTGTTTGATTTTTTTTTTTTTTTTTAATTTAATTATTCATATTTAATAATTACATTTGTACAAAATACCATATATTATCATATATTTTTCATTTAGCGCGTATTTTTCCAAACGGAAAATTTTGATATAAATGTAAATATTTTAACATTTGAATGCAATCGATAATTTTAGTGATTCAATTAGTTATAAAAAAATAAAATAAAATAAAATAATTAAGTATATAATAAACATTTAATATTATTTATATATTTAAACTTAAAAGAAAGAGACACTTGAATAAATTCTCTAAACAAGAAGACAATATCTCTCTTATATGGATAAAATTATTAATTCTTTTTGTTGAGATGAGAGAAATTGTTTTGAAAGAATATGATGATGTGTGTTTATTTCATAAAATAACTGAAAATAAAGATAGAAAAATATTTGAAAGAGAGAAAGACAGAAAACAATAATAATAAACAAGTCCATAATAAATAAGTTCGTGACTCAATTTATAAATGCGACATTATATATATAAAATACAAAAATGTCAAATGTCGACATATGTATATAAATTTTTATATACATATTTATATACATGATTCATACATGATATTTTATATACATGATTTTATATACATGATTGTACAAAAATAATCAAATATTAACATGATGTGGACAGACCCATATATCGATGATCACAAAAACGTGAGATCGCGAATTCCTAATGTACCTGGTGGCGCCTTCTTGATCTCATTTTCACTCGGATAGCCTTCAAATACCGAATCGTCACCTTCATCCTCCGGTCCATCATCGATCGTCCTTTCTATATATCCCGACGCGTCATAAAGATTCGTTTTGACGGAAGCAACAGTACCAATAGAGTCAACATTTTCTATCGGTTGCGTCCAATCTTCAGCGACACCGTCAAGGTTGCTGTTATCTTTATCGTCAACAATCTTGTAGACGCTTTCTTCACCGGCTTCCTCAACCGTTTCTTTCGTCGAAGACGAACTCGAGCTTTCCTCAATGTCAGTGTTTCCGTTTGAATATACGCGAATTGGAGTAGAATTTAGCGAATTTACGCGAATCGGGGTGGAATTTAGCGAGGCATTCTTAGCTTCTAACAAATCTTTAACCTCTAGCGAGGTATCCTTATCCTTTAACGTGGCATCCTTATCCTCTAGCGAAACATCCTTATCCTCTGGCGAGATGTTCTTATCTTCTAGCGAGGCATCCTTATTCTCTAGCGGGGAATTTTTATCCTCTAACGAGGCATTCTTATTCTCTGGCAAGGCATCTTTGTCTTCTGGTGAGGTACTTTTATCCTCTGGCGAAGTATCCTTATCTTCTAACGAGACATCCTTATTTTCTAACGAGACATCCTTATCCTCTAGCGAGGCATCCTTACTTTCTGGCGAGGCATCCTTATCTTCTGGTGAGGCATCTTTATCCTCTGGCAAGGCATCCTTATTCTCTAAAGAGATAACTTTATCCTCTAACGAGACATCCTTATTCTCTAATGAAATATTTTCTGGCGACTTCTGCACATCACCATTCAATTTGTCCACCCTCGTCGCGAATTTAATCTCGTCATCCACTTCGACGGAAGCTGTGGTCAACTTGGGTGATCCCACTGGCGTGTCATCCTCTCTCTCGGTGTTCGCCTTCGACGCGCTGTTACATACGCAGCACTTAAACATCGTTCCTATCATTCACTTCGTACTCCACGTATCTGTCGTTATATATACTTGCTATTCTTCCTGAATATATATTTCAATGTACGATGATATAACACCTTTAAGAATTATAATTTCTCTTCAACTCGTAAAATCTTTTATAAATTAATGTTAAAAAATTCTATTTGATTCAACGAGAAAACTATTTAAGTTTCTTAATAGACTTAACAATCAGAAATTTAACAAATATTTTTAATGAAACGTGACAAGGTCAACAATTTCCCAGCCCACAATGTCGTCTTATATGGATATTCGTTTAAATCGCCAATATAATCGTTCGTAAATATAACAAATCAATTATAACTGATGCGTACAGTACCCAAAGTGTATTTCAGGTTGCACCAACATCGTCTTTTTACATGAACGATGCGCGATAGCGCTTGAAACAAGGCTCAAAAGGTACAAGCGATCGAAAATTGCGCTCGAACAATCGCCTTGTGATAAAACACGGCTCCTTTTTCTCCAGCCACACTGCAAGAATTCCGAATATATGCTCCGAAATGCACAACTTTTTGATAACAAGAAATTGAAGAATCGGACGTAATTGTTAATTATCGACAGAATTGTCATCACACTCTCGTAAAAAAAGCAAAACAAACGCACGAGAGTTATTGGAAGCTTTCGCAGAGCGAATGTCGGAAGGATTCCAGAAACAGATTCTAGAATGGAATATATCCGAGAGAGCAATCACAGGATAACAGAATACAAAAACGCACTCGCCAGCTGGATAAACCTAAACTTGAGAATTTTTTATTGTTGCTGATAAGTATCGCGGAAGGAAAAAATAATAGCTATCTCGAGAGATCAACAAAGCAACGAGGAAGACGGCGACGATAACGAAGGCGCGAGCGGAGAGGCGGCGGCTAGAGATAACGTCCTAGATGTCCGCCCGGATTTGACGTTCCCAGTTTCGACCGGCGCGATGCAACGTTCCACCCCCGCCTCGCCGCTCCTTCTTCGCATCTCCGGGTCACGTCCCTTGTGCTGCCGCTGTTCGGAAGAGAATTGCAACATCCTACTTTCGGGGTGACTTTTCGACTGAACCCTTGGATCAGCGGAATTAACTCTGATTGATTTTTGATCATTTATATAGTTTAATTTTAATCCCAATTTGATTAACTCTTCATCTTTTTTTAGTTTTAAGTTAGAAGAAAAGGAAGAGCAAGTTGAATGAGATTAAAGTTAATCTAATTAGTAGAAACGGGTATTTAATGGATTTCAGCATTGTGAATTAAATTTAGAGTATATTTTAATAATTTATTGTCTTTTCTAAATGTCTTAATAGCGTTTTTTTTTAATATTTGAAATTTTGAAATTCTTGACGAGTTAAAAAATCGTCACCTACAAATGAATGATGGGATCTTTGCGAATTTTACGCATCATCCACAGATACGTGTGATGTGACAATCAAAGTGTTCCAATCCAATTGTAATAAAATTTCAAACTCGATAACTCGATATCTCTAATTTAATCTTTTCTTTTATATTGCAAAAAAATTAACAACTCTATCCATGAGATAATTAAAGTGCAGAGTTAGGAGTGAATAGTATCGAAAAAAATAAATCGAGCAATCGAAAAATGAATAATCGAACTTCTCGATGTATTGACGAATTTTCTTCAGATGAAAGTAATTTTTCTTCAGATGAATATTTTTCTGTCGGCACAAGTACTTGTAACAATATTTCTAATTGTACAATTCGTCATCTTTAATCTAATCTCTTTCTGTGTGTCAAATAAAATTAATAATTTTGTCTGTGATAACAAGATAAATATTGATAAATTAATATTTTTCGATATCAATTAATTGAACGTAGTCATCCTAACGAACCAGCGCCCAATTTTATTGTCAATCAATAAGTAGAAAAAAATGAATATAATGATTGTAGATCGTCATGACAAATAACAATATCTTACAACTCTATACTATTATGCTCTAACAACAAACAATATTATGAATTTATCACCATTATCGTTATTACAAATTTATTAAACATGTTGTAACACAAGTGTATTTTGATGGAATGTCTAATATGTACAGTTTAAATAATATATATATTATGTGGAATATTTTGAATACAACGTAAATATTTTTATTACACTTTCACTATAAGTTTATTTTATATTTTTGCTGCACTTAAACTGCATTAGAACTTTCCTTCTCATTTTCATCAAATATATATATTTTAATAAATATCATATATTTCAGTAAATATCAACAGTATTATAACATTAATATTATAAATTTCAAACTTAAAATATAAATTTAATATAACATGTTGTATGTAACAATTATTGAGTGTGAAATTATAACATGGATATTATATTACTGTTATTTTATGTCACTAAGATTTAGTAAAATAGATATATCTTAGAAATATAAGAAGTATATACTAGTTAAGTTACAAAAACCGATCTTATAATTTTGAAAGGCTTGCTGTAACATTGGATTAATCCACATTTTGTAAAAACAAAGTAGGTAAATGAACTTTAAATTAAAATGATGGGAAAAATCATAAACATTTTAAAATTTAATTACTCTATTTGTACAAAATGTGATTTGTACAAAATATGACTTGTCCACTGTTGCAGCATGTCTTTCAATTGAATGAGTGGTACTCTCTTAATCGAATTCGCTACTAATCTTCCCTCTAATCTAATAGATCCATTTCTACCAAAGTAGATTAACCTTGCTCTTTATCTTTTTCTAATTCTTGGAATTAGAAGAAGATAAAAAGTAAATTAAACAGAGATTAAATTTAATCTATTGTATATTGATAGAAATGAACATAAATTAAACTGTGCAGGAATATCTCATGATAAAGAATTAAATTTCACAAGTAAATTTAAGGTAACTTTAATTAATTAAACTCCAATTAACTTAATTGACGACATATCCACCGATACACTTTCTAACAATTCATTGTTCTTAATCTTAAATATTCTTTATCTTTACTTATGTCTATTTCTTGATTAAATTTAATCTTAGTTTAACTTATTCTTTATCTTTTTTTAATTCTGAGAATTAGAAAAAGATAAAAAGTAAAATAAACCAAACATTAGAATTAGTCTACATTAATAAAAATAATTAACTATTTAAAAGTTCTTTAAATTCCTACTAATTGTGCTCTTATTAACTTAATGATAAATTCAACCAATACAATTTCTAATTATAAATTAGAACAATTTCTAATTAATTAGTTATTATTCTTGATTTAATCTTTCTTTTCATGTGTTAATAAAAAAATTAATAATTCCATTTATGTTAACAAGATACTGCAGATATTAATCGACAAATTAATTGAAGTTAATCGGAGTAACCTGTAGAATCCGTACATCAAGCTACTTGAGGTTATTACATTAAATATTCCAACGGATGTTCGAAAGGAATTGGACAGTTCAACAAGATATAATAATTATCTATTAATTCCAATCGAGATAGTCTTAGACAAAGTTTATCTAGACAGAGTAAACGGTACAACTCATGCGAATGCACACGTCACCGGCAGTAAACGTCAAGTGAAATGCTTGATTCAAGCCAGGCATCGTTCACCGGAATGTGCAACAGCGGTTAACCAAACTTTGTGCTTTCAATTTCCCCGAGCTAGCCAGCCTAAAAAACAAATCCGCGCGAAAGAAAGCCTGCTTATTTTACACGTAATTTGAATATCGTTCAATCGCGCTTAATATTAAGCCTTCTGTCGGAAAATAAATCGAGAAATATTGCGGAAAGGGAGGTGCACCGTCGAGCGTTGCGATATAAAACGATCGTCGTCTAAACTAAATGTACACTCACGTTCGATGGAAGATCCTCGTATAAATCACCGTCGTTTGTATGACTCTTCGTCGATAGAATGTCGACGAAAAATCGGCGGAGTACGATTTATGTACGGGCAGAAATTTCGACTCCGGCGATGCGCTGACAGGTAGAATGACTGGGGCGTTTGCCGGATGTGCCGGAAGTACTGTTTTCGGCCGCTCCGATTTTAGCGGCGGCTTAAAATCGCCGATTGCACGCGCACAAGTTCCGTCTTCAGGTCTGTTCGCGGGAAATGCACGGCGTATTCGAACTGTAATAATACTGAAAGAAAAACTGGAGCATTGGTCGTTAAATCAATCGACAGAGAAGGCTTTCAGGCGACAATGTGTATCCCTCTTTCTCTCAGTACAGTCTTAACCAAAAGTTCGTCTGCATTTTTTTGCGCAGCTTTTGTACTGCACTTTTACTGCAGATGTGAAAATAATTATTGTCTATTTTTAAGTAATGTAAATTTTAAGTAATGTAGATTTTTAATTTTTTACGTCTATGGATTTAACTTGTTTTCTATCTTTTTCTCATTCTAAAAATAAAAAAAATTTGAAGAGTAAGCTAAACCAAGATTAAATTAATTTACATTATGATAGAATTAATAACAAAAAACAATAATAGTCAATTTTATTTTAATTAATATATTTTATTATGAAATTTTTTTAGGTTTAATTGTTTTTCACGAAACTATAAAATATTCTTTAAAATATGAATTTTGCAATTTAGTAATTATAATAAATTATATAATAAATAAAATAATTTCCCTGTAAAAATATTTCATGCATGAATATATATAAATATGTATAAATATACATAAATATTCATAAATATGTATAATATCATATTTGTATAATATCATATTTGAAATATGTCCATATCATGTTTATATATCCCTTTTTCTTTTATAAAATTATCTTTTTAGTGTAATAAAAAAAATCAAGTTTGAAGAAATGTAAAAAAATTACAATTATATTTATGTATAATTATTACATAAAAGTATATATAATTGTGTATAAGCAATTTTTTATATTTTTCAAAATTTGTTTTCTTCTAAAATAAACAATGCGAAAAGTATCCTTTTAATTATTTAATTATTTTTTATTTTTTCCATATTACTATTATTATTTCTATTACACTAAAAAATAATTTTACAAAAGAAAGAGAGATGTATAAACATGCACGGATATGATTATACATGAATATTTATGTATGTATACAATATTATTTATATATATTTATACATATTTGTACATACTCATAAAAAAGTTGTTTACCAGGTTATTTTGACGCTTTAATAATTATAAAAAATGAAATAATCCTTTTCATTCAAGATGCAAATTAATACGCACATAAAATTATAGCGATCGATCCTGTTAAAAAGTCGAATATGTTGCAATTTTCTGGGGAAAAAGTTTTATATATATATATATTTTTTTTTTTTTATAATTATATAAGTGTACATAAAATGTGTCAATTTTTTAATCTAATTATATATAATTTTATATAATTTCATATGAAACATTTTTTCCCAGATTAGTTATAAAATAAATCTGAGATTATCACTTCTTATATTTATATGGACATATTCTGCATATTTCTTGCAAATTAGTATTCTGTTATAAAATCTGTTATAAAATCTGTTTTTTATTTATTTCTTACGAAACTATACTCAATTTGAATGATCATAGAAATACACCAATCAAATGTTTAATGTAAAAGGTGCGATGTTGTTGTGTTCATCACACTAGGCACGTGATTGGTCCGCTCCTTTATGCATCTGCATTAATAATTCATTAAAATACGAATTTACTTATCATTCGCTGTTATTCGTTCTTATATAATGTATACAGCCATCTAAAGGTTCCAACTATTCATGGATCTAATTTAACCTTATTGGCGCGAAGACTGTTAAGAGTGTTAAGAGGAGCAGAGCAGAAGAACTAAGGACTTGATGATGATAATTCAGCTTATCAGCTTGTTTTCACAAGTTCATCACAGTTTATCATAATTTGGCTCAATTATATTTTTCCATATAATAAGAAAGTGCTAATATCACTCGGACTACTCAACAAAATGAATACTAACCTTCTGTTTGTTGAATCAGTGGAAGTACTGCGAAATAGTTTGTCACACTACCACACCTTGTTAGAAGCGATTTTGGTGGTTTGGATAGTGTGGTTTATTTCTAAAAAACGAAGTAACCAGAATTCAGTACCTTCAAAAGAATTGGTGGAGAACAAATTAGCAGAGTGGCGACCGGAATCTCTTGTACCGGAATCACCGAAAAATCATCCTTCATTAAGTCCAAAATATGTCACTTCCAAAGTCGGAAAGCGAGTGATAGTCGATGGAAAAAATTGCCTTAATTTGGGTACACATAACTACTTAGGTTTAAGCGACAAAGCAGAGCTGATAGAAAGTGCAGCAGCGGCTATAAAGAAATACGGCGTTGGGTCTTGTGGACCACGAGGCTTCTACGGAACCGTCGACGTACATCTTGAATTAGAAGAACGTTTAGCTAAATTCATGGGCATGGAAGAAGCAATAATATACTCGTATGGATTCGCCACTGTGTCGAGTGCAATTCCAGCTTATTGTAAACGTAAAGATTTAATATTTGTGGACGAGCGAGTGAATTTTGCCATACAAAAAGGATTGGACGCATCTCGAGGAAATATTCAATATTTCAAACACAATGATGCTCAAGATCTACACAATCTCTTAATGAAACAAGAGGAAATAGATAAAAGACATCTTAAAAAGAGTGCGAAAGTCAAACGTTTTCTGATTATAGAGGGTATTTATATGAATACAGGAAACATCTGTCCTCTCCCAGAATTATTGGCTCTATGTAAGAAGTACAAATTGAGAATCTTTATCGACGAGTCAATATCATTTGGTACCATCGGGTTACATGGAAGAGGTGTCACTGAATACTTTAACATTCCTACAAGTGAAATCGATATGATAATGGGTGAGGAGCAATTATTAAAGTCAAATATTTCTTGTTAATATATAAATTTATGTATAATAGTATGTATTTATATATATTATTGTATATATTTTTTAGGATCTTTAGAATGGGCTATAGGAACTATTGGTGGCTTTTGCATAGGAGCCTCCTTTATTATCGATCATCAACGTTTATCTGGTCTTGGCTATTGTTTCTCAGCGTCTCAACCACCTCTCTTGGCATCCGCTGCTATCACTTCTTTAGATATGATTGAAAATAACTTAGAAATATTCCAATCTTTGAGAAATAATGCCTTATCGATACACAATGGTCTCAAAGAAATCCTAATGTTAGAGTGCTTGAGTTTTGCAGAATCACCTTTGAAGTATGTATATTTAAAGGAGCAGAAAGATCGTGTCATAGAGGAGAAATTACTATCTGCAATTTCAAATAAATGTATAAAAAATAACTTGGCGATTATAGTGCCAGTCTATCTGGAAACTGAAATAATTTTATCCAGACCTAGTCTTAGACTTTGTATATCTGCTAGTCTGGATAACAATGATATCAAGTTCGCACTAAACACTTTAAAGAAGTGCACAGAAGAAATTTTGTTGTCATTTTGTGAATGAAATAAATGAAACTTGAAAGAGTTATATTTTAAGATATATTCAGCTTGTATATCAGAAATGCATCTATTTATACATATCATATTCTGTGTATTAACACAGATATATTGATTCGTCCATATATAACTTTTTTGTACGATGAAAATATAGTTATTAAAATAAAATAGAACTTTGAAAACATTACTACACACTTTTTTAATATTTCATAGAAAAATGACATCAAAATTTTATAAACTTGTTAAAGAATATTAATCCTTTTAGAGATTGTTATTATTCACAATTGTGAAAAAATCTAAGCGTGCATGATACAATAAAAATTAAAATTTATAAATAAATCAGTGTTAATAAATAAATATTTGAATATTGTAAAATAAATTTTTCTAATTGACAATCAAATTGTTTAGTTAGAAAAATTCGCTGAATACAACTCACATGAAGGAGCAGACTTTTAAAATGTTTTATCCCAAAATTTTATTCTTTTAGTTAGAGATAGCATGTTTAGTGTTGAAAGACTCGTATAAGTTACTCTGAGATATTAATTTTTTCATCTTTCATTTATATGCTAAAAAATATACGCTAGATAATTTAAATGCATTTATGTCCTTTAATTAGAGACAAATAAAATGCATTTATTTAACATTTTTAGTAATTGTTTAACAATTTGTTTAACATTTCATATGCTATTAATATTATTATTTTTTTAGTTTTCTTTCTCATTTTCTGAAAATTATAAATTTTAAAAATCTGCTCTTCATATAATTTTATAAAAAAAGCCTGTTATAATACAACGACATCTTGCAAACTGCTTTATTATTATAATAGATACAGATACGCCCTTATTAATTGTCTCTCGTTTCAGGTTCTTCGTCATATGCCGCCATGACCTTTTCCATAATTTCCCATAACTTATCCCTCGCTAAATCTTTGCAGAAAACCTGTAACAAAATAATTTACATATAAACCTATTAATATAAACTGATGTAAAGACATATAATATATATTCACATTGAACCATGGCTGTTGATCGCATTCATCCATCAAAGGTACAACCACACCATAAATTTGCAATGATAAATTAATACAAGCTATTGCTATTAAATTCGGTGGATAATCAAGAATAGCTGGGGAATGATGAAAATCTTGCAGCAGTGCCATGCTCGTTTTGGCGACGGGATACTTGGACCATTCCTCTTCGCCAAACCAACCTTGCAAAGATCGTAGATAATGAAGCATGTACTGCAATAAAGTATAATGTAGTTATTAATATGTTGACACACATGCACATTAACATTATTAGTTAATAATAATATTTGCGATACCTTATGTGGATGTACAGGTGTAACCTGAAACTTGAGCATCCTCATGATTAAAAGTTCAGCCTGAACAATCGCATCTCTCATACTCCAATACTGATCTCCAAGATCAAGCGGCTGAGATCCTCTATGAAGTGTATTATAGGATACATTCATTACGTCTCGTATTTTTAGCGTATCATCCTTTACTTTGCCAGCCAGATAAAGACAAGTTGCAGCTAAAAGCTAAAAAAAGATAAAATTTGTCAAATTTATTCAAAACTTATCTAGAATCTCAAAATAATTATATTATAATTCATTTTTACATAATTATCATATCCCTGTGGTGTCGCTTCTTTAATAAATCTATGATATAATGTAGCAGCAGTAGCTATTGTCAGTGGGTGAGCTTCCAATTTCAAACCTACAATCAAAATACTTTATAAAAAATCATATTTTATAGACAACTTTCTAATGATAAATTATTATAACAATTATATAGTTATAGCAACATACCGCATTCGAAAATAAATCGTGAAACTGTAAAGCTGTCATTAGACTTGGTATAATCGATTGTAATGCTTTTTTGTAATGTATTTCTTTTTTCACGTTGCATTGCAAGAACGTCGATCACATCTTTCATCTTCGAGCTAAAAAAGTGCGAAAAAATGCATTAAGAACCGATTGTTCTATCCTCGGATAAACTATGTGGTAATCTACCTACTGAATAAACAAAAGAGTAAAAGCATAAGAGAGTAAGAGTGTAAGACAGTGAACTGAAGTTAACGGAAAGGTGGAATAACCTAGTCTAAATATATAAAAGAAAAAAAGAAATAAACATAGCTCGATATATAACAAACTTCAAGAATAACAATGAGTGCCAGAATTATGTCAGAACAGCGTTGAGAAAATATTGAAAAGCGTTTGATCTGTCAAGAGTAAACTGCGTATAACCTTATCTCAGTGTCATCCAATGTGAACTCATTGTACCTGAGAGTTTCGGTGCCGGTTGGCTCTGAGGGATTCATCGCGGATATACTTGTCTTCGCAGAAAAGGTCTCGTTTAAAAATTGTGTAAGCGCGCTAGTGAAAAAACTTCAGTTTCCAACTCATTCAGGTACAAGAGATCCAAACCCGAAAGAAACCTGAGAGCGGCCATACCGCCATACCGGCTTTTTTCATATGACGCGCAAAAGCAGCAAAAATCTATCCGTATATTAGCGGCATCAACGTCATTTCTAAAATGATATGAACTATGTATCACATTATCGACACTGTTGATAAAGTCGTATTGTCGGAAATTGGATTTTAAAAAGAAAATGTTATATTTTATGATACAATTGAAGAAAATTTGCAAAAAAATTTTATTCTCTCCGTACACTTCATCAAAGTTGAAATTTATTTTTCAATTTTTAAAATTTATTTTAAAATAATGCCATCTGTAGAGCGAAATCATTCCAGAGGAATGGTTTCACAGGAACATAAGATTTCAAATCTGAATAGATGCGAGATTGGACAGAAGCAATCTTCCTTTTGTCCAATCTTCTCTGCGAGCGAGAAGATTAGACAAAAAGAAGATTGGACAAATGAAAGAATGGCCAAGGGATTAATTGTGGATTTTGAAGGTTACTAGGTATTGACCAATTATGAATCTAGTGAATTTGCTCACTTTTATAATTTTCATGTCATTTGAAAATATACAATCGACCCTCAGGGCATTGATGAGATCATTAAAGACTTTCGGCGCTTATGGAAATTCGCGTGCCTGTTAAAATTTAAGTGATTAATTTCCCATTTCCAACTTTCTAAAAATTAGAAAAAGACAAAGAGTAAGTTGAATTGAGATTAAAGTTAATCTACATTGGTAGAAATGGGCATAAGATTAATAAACTAGTAATACGATATTAATTTCATGCTTTATTAGTTTTGTAGACATATACATATGTTTAAAACTTAATAATACTCGATTTTTATTTAAAATTGATTTTAATGATATCATCTGAGTTTGATTATTAATAGCGATGATAACTGCAGAGGAAAAATTGTAATTTTTCAGCAATATATAAGATATTATATCATTAAAAGTATAAGCTTTAACATAAGCTAAACATTAGTTGTAAACTGATCGCAAGTTTGTTGCGACAGTCAATCTGAAGTTTGTATTTTAAAATCAACTTCATATTGTAAATAGAACCGACTTAATATGATGTATCCTTATTTAACACAGGCTTAGTTTCCACCGAGGATTTAAATCAGAATATAAGAACTAACCAATTACAATTGAGTTCCCCTGTTATAGTCGAACGACAGGGGAATGTTCGATTGTAATTGGTTGGTTCTTATTCGGGATTCTGATCCTGGGTATAGTCAACGCGATGTTATAAACGCTTTGAAGCGTTTTTTAATTGATCAGTTTGTAAAATTCTTTCTTCTAATTGGACAAGGACAGAACGACGTTTTGTGTCGCCTTGTGTCATCAAATAGAAAGTATCAATATGAAGTGTTGATTTCAAATGCAAGTTTCAGATTGACTGTCAACAAACTTGCGATTAGCTTGCAATTAATGTAGAACCGGCTTTATGCGTGCAAGCCAATCTAAATACTTCATATTGACTGTCATATTGAACTTGCAATCGACTTGCAACTTTGCAATTAATGTAGAACCGGCTTAATGGATCGCAGCCTATATCGCATCACAATTCGCAATTGCTTACAGCGCCACCTTAACGGCGACCTGATTGGGACCATAAATATTCGCCCCCACTATGTGACTTGGGCACAGTATATACTTGGGTCTCCTTTTAGACAATCTGAACTTCATACGTTGTCTGTTCACAAGCACATTGCGTGAATCCAGTTGACATCCATCTCGCCATCGTTCATCTCGTAGGTTATGTCGTATTGATAGCGCGTATTAAAATCGCGATTGCGTTAAAATCTGAAAATCACGCGCGAATCTGTTTCAATCTATGACTCCGCGAGCGAGAAATTAAACAAGTCATAGAATCGGACGGCATTCTGTCGTCCATTAAAAAGATCGGGTGAACACCCTCGAGAATCTCCGCTTATTGCGTTGCTTTTCGCTAACATTGAAATTCCGGAGATTCTCGCCTTTGCTTTCTTTGCGGTGGACGTGACGTAAGGAGAAGAGAAAGAAAAAAGGAAAGAGACACAGAGAAAAAAGCCGCGTCCAAATCGACGCCTGGAAACAGAATAAATACGACGAGGAGGAAAAGAAGTAAATAACTACGAGATGTCGGCATCTCCTATTGCCAGACAGGCCACCCAGAGCCAGAGCATACCATCTAAGAGGATCGTCATTCATGATCCCAACCAGCTACCAGTCGACTACTCGTCCACCCCCGGAGGCACGCTCTACTCCACGACGCCGGGAGGTCAGTGTATCCACCTTTTCCAACTCTCTTCCATTTCTACGTTTTCCTTAACTCATTTGTACCTCCGAGACATCTAAGCTACAATCTACATCCCCAAGTTGTCAACAGCTCCCTGTAAAACTTACGAAAAATACACATTTAGATTGATATTCGTAATCTATTCTTGAACTAATAATAGAATACAGATTTCAATTAGGACTAATTAGCGACTGCCTATTGATTGAATTTTAGGATTTTAGAGTTAAGACTGAAACATAAACCAAGCTTGGATAAAGTCTTGAGATTGTAAGCTAAGAGAGCTGTATTAGTATATTAAGACAGTCTCATGATGGTCTTAAAATAAGAATAGATTATGAATACTTCCCTTACAATTGTTAAGGACACACATTTAGCTCAATTAATAATGGCGATTGGCGGATAAATATCAGATGAAATAAAAAAAAATTCTTTTATAGAACTATTATCCATTTCCGGAATTCGTCGAAACAAAAGAAAGTCCGAATTTTATCGAGGATCTTGCGATCTCCTCGGTATTGTACGCGAAATCATTTACCATTTCACAATATGCGCACACGTGCAAGGCGCCTTCAAGGCCATTGATATTTACGCATAACGCGATCGTATCTTTCTCTTTCTCCTCGCGCACACGTATGTACATACGTATACGCATAAATGCGTCCTGATAACAAACTGTTACGTAATACTCGGTTCGGCGCGGGTCTGCTTCATCGTCCGTTTGCATGGAAAATATTCAACGCTTTTGTGCCGCATACGCGAAACTATATCCTATTGAAATAGCCGGTTAATTATCAGCTCGGGATAATGCGCAACCTTGACGTTAATCCATAGCCGACATGCAGAGCGACGGCCGGTAGATAATTTTTAGTCAAGAACTTCTGGATGCTTTAGTGACACAATTTGACAAAAGTGTCGTTATATCTTTGTTATTCACTGAATGTTGAGAAAGATAAATGAAGCTTGTGTATCGATTTGTATTACTAAATGAAAAGCGTCCTCTATTGACCTTCGAATCCCTTCTTTGTTAAATAATTAATATATCATGTTAATATATTATATAATTTTATTATATGTATTATATAATATATTACTTATTAATGTGTACGTTATAATTTATGTTTATGTCATAATATATTGTACATTGATATATTAATTTATTAATATATTTCATTTAAATACCTTATGAATGAATAATTTATTTACTTGAGCTCATTTTCAAGAAAGGACTTGGTTTAAAAATGCTTCTATACATTCACACCTTATAAATTAAAGGCTAACCAGAATTTTTGATTAGCATATCTACATTGGTTTATGCACCTACTTTCCAGATTATATATATATGTATATAGCTTATTTATCTACGGCAACCTTTACGACTTGTATCATATCAACATTATTTACAAAGTTTAACATTATTTACAATTATTATCACATTGTTACTTTATTACAAAATTCACATACATAATGTAAATATTTTGTAATTATATTGGTAAGTTCCTATAAATTATAATTACATATGTTATGAAAGAAGATAATAGTATGTTAATTACTTATATGTAAAAAATCATAGAATTTAATTTTTTTTTTTTTAATGTTTTCTTCAAATCCACGTTAATTTTTTTTAGCTATCATTCTCAAATAATCTGAATTTTTATTTCTTGAAAGGAAAAGAGAAAATTAAACAAAAGAATAAAATTAAATTTGAACAAAACTAAAAAATAGAAAGATTTTTCTCTTAAGGAGAAAGTGATTTATTAAAGTAATAGAGATAAAACGAACATTATTCAAATGACGAAGTCACATCCCCGTGCTACTTCTTGAAGGGTTAAATTTATTAAGGCTGAAGTTCAGATTGTCGGACTCGACATTGAACGAGTAATATTTAATGTTGGTTCTACTTATTGCGTTTTTAGTAAACGATAGAAGGATAACTTATCGCGTTAATGTTTATTTCTTTATATGCGCATCACTTTGCTTGCAAGCAAAGAGAAGGCGAGCCACGAAGTAAATATGTCCGTTACAAAAAAATGCGGATTGAAATTATATTGAGTGTCATTTTTTTCGGTTTGCGGTTTACTTCGCTAATTTCGAACGGGTTTTTTTCCACATACATGTTAGCTTCCAGAGCGATGAGTAATACCACTTATAGTTATTAATCATATTGACAACTGCAGTTCACTTATCAGATAATGTTTCAAGTGGTCTTTAACAAAGCTTTTTTTCTTGAAATTCAAAGCATCTAACAACAAAAATTTAAAAAAAAATTGTACAAAAGATTGCACCATTATTAAATTTTGAATACGGTTGAATGAGTTATTATTTTGGTTTGAATGATTTATTATTTGATATAGATTTAGAAAATTGTCAAATGAGTGGAATGACTTTTAAAAATGATATTATTATTGGATATCCCTACTGATAATTCTACTCTATTTATCTTACTCTCAACAAAGAGTTTGATTGTTGATATAACAATCAATATAACAATATTATTCTTTTTCTTAAGTCGAAATCTTTTTCTTATTACGAAATCATAATCTAATCTATCCGCAGATGTTTATATGTTAATATTTTTATTTGTAATGATAATTCTCACCGAGATTGAATCTGTTCGATTTATATATATCTAATTAGAGCAATCGACATATCCCGAATAAAATAACATTTTGTAGATTTACAGTACAATAAATACTATAAATGTACAACATGAAAGTATTGATAAAGTAATCACTTTTTCAATCCTATTTTTTAGATTTAAAAAAAAAATCTCAGTTTAAATTAAAAATAGACATGAAAATCGTATAAATAAAAAATCTAATTGAGATATAGTAGATAATTCACGAGTGGCGGTGTGTGACGAGCAGTTAGCTGCTTCTTTTCTTTTTCTTTTAACATGATGCAAGCAAAACTCGGTAGCGAAATTGTCGGCGAATTCACAAATCAGGTAAGTGAAGCCAGGTCGCATGCACTCGGGACGTTGTTGTTCCTTGCCCCGCAATGTTTCCTGGGGCGTTAAACAGCCAAGGCCGAATTAATACGTGCGCGATACATACCAACGTCGCCTGATGCGTAATCGGTGACGCGTGTAATGTTTATCGCTCGCGCCAGCGCGGCGCAGAAAGTCACGGCGATCTGAAAAACAAGGGTACAAACAGCGTGAAAACGACTGGATCTTCAAGATAACTTTAGCTGCGACAGTGAGCGCGCTTCGTAAATCTTGCGTAAAATCTCAATACGTAAGCAATGACGATCAATAGACAGTCGTTTCGCAGATGGACACGTGTTCTTATCGAACCGCTGCGAAACTGTGATGAATTCCTTCTTTATTATTACTATTATTGTTCAGGTTGGTGAACGATTTGGCCGAATAAGAAAGAAAGACGCTATTCATTCGAGAAAAATTGATTATTGACTCACATGATTTCTGATCTAGTCGAGTAATATTCCAAGTTAATAAGTACAATCTTCTTCTCTGTATAGATATTTATGTTTGTTATTAAAAGAGAATGTGGATATTTATACATTATGTTCGTTATTGAAAGAGAATTTTGTCAAATAAATTTTGATCAAGCTTTAAAAAAGTATAAATTTATTTCACTTTGTGCTAAAAAAAAAACAGTTACATAAAAAAAAATGAGACTCTTGTTACGCGAATTAAAACGAACGTGACTTACACAAAGAAAGTCTCTGGATTCTAAATCTCTGGGTTGACTTTATATCGCACTATCTTTGCTTTCTGCGATTATGTTTGTTTTGGCATCCTTGCCGACCCTTGCACTCCTTTCAAGTTAGGTAGGTGTCCGTACAGAAATACACTTGTATAAATAGGCAGCGTGCATCGCTTTTCGTATAACTGTCGAGCCATTGTGTCATTTCTGTGTGTAATCGTCATCCCATTATACAAATTCTTTTTTTGAACTTCGGCCCATTATTCCATTCTATTGTAATTAAATCTTGTTTGCATTTTTCTGATTAAAAATATTTATTACCTAAAGCATAAAGATTCACTGAAATCTCTTCTGTCAACTCTACTTGGCAACTATAAAGTTACAATTATGTCAAACTTGCGATAAAACTAATTTTAATTTTGTTCAACAATCATTAATATTGTCTTATCAGATAATTCTTAACAAAAATTATCAGATAATTTTTCACAAAAATTTCAGCTTCAAATGTAACTTGAATACAAATTGCACACACGCGTGCACACTATATATATAGATAGCCATTCACTCAAATTTAAATATTCAAGAATATTTTCATAATGAAAATTTAACACATACCTAAAAGTTGAAGCTTCATTATAATAACAGATTTATAGATAATTAAATCTTCGAATTTTGCGCAGGTACTCGCATCGTATACGAACGTGCGTTTTTGATGAATTTGCGAAACTCTCCGATATCACGAACGCCACCACGCAATCCGCTGACCATACCATCTGAATTGCTGAAGGGGAACACTCCAGTCATCATGAAAGATCCCACAAAAAATACTAATAAAGGTCAGTCTACTTATTTAAATCGATTTTTCTCTGCAATTCCTGTCTTTCTTACTAAAAAATATAAGCTGAATGAATAATTATTAAGAAAATATTTTACATTAATGACGATACATAATAATAATTGCATTAGAAAACTTTTCTCACTTTTGTTTGACGTTACAGATTCTCTGATGATTGAGGAATCCGCGGAGCAATTTGAAATGGATATGTGAGATAAATGCAACGTGCTATTGTTTATGACGATTGAAATGTGTTCGTAGCCATGCTCAAGAATATTGTCAATCAATTCTATGACAATCGCACAGAATTGAGAGTACATGGCTAATACGCTTTAATCCTGTGCCTTTTACCAATGGTCTTAAGAATTGTGAATCTTATAAAAAGATTTTCTCCTTGACGAAAGGCCATATCTTATTCACATACATATATTGTATATTGTATACAAATCATTTTGTTCTCGACGCTTGTTCTTGACCAATGTTATACGTATATTTGCATATAAAGAACGGCCATGAATGTAAAGGTGCTAATGTTTATAAAACATTTGCATCTAATGTCTTCCTTTTAAAAATGGCCAAAGCGATGCTTTGTAACGTGTTTTGTAAGGAACTTGTATCTGTGAATAAATGATACATACATTTTATACATCCATACATTTTACTTTTTATTATTGTATACATCATATAAAAATAATTATAGATTTCCAGTATATTAAGATTTCTTTAATATATGCCTATTGAGTATCGAAAATTTAATTGTGATATTATTCTAATAGTTTAACCTCTCTGAATTTTTAAGTTCGATAAAATTTTCGAGCAGTTCAAAATGACTGCAAATTGATGTGTGCGTGCGTGCGTGTGTGCGCGCGCGCGCGCGCGCGTGTGTGTGTGTGTGTGTGTGTGATATATAATTCACATTGAATTATTTAAGCGTCAAAGATCTAGCTTCGATCGTTATGAGCTTTTAATTCTTATTTCTTATTGGTTATGTTTTCACATGTACAGTCCAATAATTCTTGTTGTTTAAAAATAATTAAATACTATTTGAAATATTGAACAATAAATATTGTAACTTCATTTTCGAACAAAAATCTTATAATAATTCAAGGATAATCAAGCCACATATATATATATATAAAAACGTTATATAATAAAAAGTTTTATAATAAAACGAAGTTTCATGTCTTTTATTTTTAAATTAAAATTTAAAAGAATTTAAATTATTTAAAATTAGAAGAAAATCAAATCAAGTGTTAGGTCGCGTTTAGATATAATATCAAATTCGTAATATAGTCGTAATACTTTAAAATCTTCGAAAAAAGAGTTTACCTAAAAAAAAAGACAACTTTATAGTCACAATACTTTTTATTATTATTTTCAAAAACCATTATGAAAATATCGAAGTAAAGAAAATAAAGGGACATATTATTTGCAAATGAAATAATATGATTAAACACAATTTTTTAACTGTGCAATAATATTGTACACCATGCTTTTGTATTAAATTAATTGCATTAAAGATCGTTATACATAAAAATTAATTTTATAAATACTAATAATAATACTAATAATAATATTCTAATATAAAATTCTTTCGAAAAATACTAGATATTTCAAATAGTGCTTACATTATATTGTTTTTGGAATGTAGATAAATTTATAACAGTTTTTAAACTGTATATATAAATGTAAAATAGGGTACAAACGTTGACATAGTGCATTATCAGATATATGTTTATAAAATTTATCACAATTTAGGACATACGTTACCTAATTTCTTTCAATACTTATGCAGAATTTGTTATTTTTGATATTCTTTCTAAGAGTATTGTTGCAACGTTAACTTTGTTTCCTTTCGCGTCGAAATCATCATAATAAATTAATTCACACAAATCTTTGGTTTCTGGATTGCTTTGCAAAATTTCTTGTAGTTTAGTATAAAATCTCTCGATAATCTTAGGTTTATATTGTTTATATACAGCAGATTCAGGATGATTGTGTTTTTGTACTTCGTAGTATGTTAACAAAGGTGTCGCACCTTCCACCACTATATATATCGGTTTATTACCCGACTTTCTTCCTCCAGGATGTATCTTGTAGGCATTATTGCGATATGTCCTGCCTATATTCCCAGCCCGATTACGTCTTTCCTCCTCCAGCTCATGTATATTTTCCATCCATTGACAGGACGCTTCTTTTAAGTCTGGTGGAATGTATCCAGAAGATGGTATTAAAAGAAATAGTTTGTGTACTAGAAATGTCACATTGTGATAGTCCTCGAAATTTTCGATTTTCTCGATTATGCCCTTCTTGCCGGTTTCACTGGATGGTAGAGTAAACTTCAGATAGCCATAGTAGAAATTATACGCCATACCCGTGCCATAATCCAGACCCTTCATAACACTGAGATCAGACAGTAATCCTGTTTCCCATTCAGTTAAGTTACTCATTCTGACTAGGCAGAAGGAAAATATTATCAGTGGCACACATACGTACGGCCCGAAGTCCCAGGCATATCTCAAAGGACACCCATGAATGGTGATGCTTAAGCCCAGGAACAGCAATGCGGCAACGATGATGATTGTTGCCGACAAGGTATTCAGAGAGAAGTGATACTTCGTCACTGACCAGAAGCTCTCCTCGGAATGTTGGCCCACGTCAGTGGTGAACGAGACCAGCGTCTGGCACAGGCGTAGCGTCACATCACAGAGCAAGAAGATCACGAGAAAGATGGACGCGACGAAGGTGATCGCGATCACCGATACAATCGTCCTGTCCTTTGTCGCTTTGAACGCGGCGAAGGCAAATAAAACGACGAGGACGACACTGTATACCAAGTAAGTCTTCAGCTTACGATCGGCTGTTGAATACTTCTCGCTTTCCATCCTCGTTGAAATATAGTCACTGAATCAAGTTAGATCCGCTTCAATCTGGCCTGGGAAAAACCGAATCACTGTGCTGCGATAAACTTCAAAGAAACGTGCACAGCTGTGTCAAGTGTGACACACCCTTCCTTCTGCGAATTCTACATATCGAAGTAAAACAGAAAACATGCCTAAAGGTTTATTCAAACGGACTTGCATAATCATGTATAACGTACCGTGAAAAAGCTGACCAATCTTGCGTGTCCATCACATTGCTTCATGTCCATTTTATTTCATAATGTGTAATTAGTCGACTTCTTTTCCTATGCATATGTATCAGCTTAACAATCACTCAGTTAAACGGGTGATTTTTTTATCTTATTTACGTAATTGGTGAACGTGAAGAATGAGTAATTAGCGTTATCATGTGCTATTGTAAATATTTATAGTTTACGACTTAGTAAACAGTACATTCCTTAACTGGAAAACAATATTTGTTTACATCGTATAATTTGATAGCCAGACTTTGACTTTTTAAGAAACTGTGTTAAAAAATAAATCGAATTTTGATTTTAAAAAATTTAATAAAGAATCACTGACATTATTAATCTGTATATATTTTATGAATTCTGATTTAAAACAATTGAAAATATTTGATTCTCATATCATAATTGAATTCTACTAGAGAGATTTCTACACACACTATGAATTTCCAAGAGACATGAATAACACAATAAAACGGATAATAAAATTCTTTTTAGCCTAACAGTTTTTCTTCTTACAGTTTTTTTCTCTTTTTTCTCTATCTTCCCAACATGAAACGAAAAAGAAAAGATGAATCAAGTTCAACTTTTACAAAGAAACACAGTACAACACAGTAAATCGTTACATTTTTATTATTTATCAAAACAATTGTTGAACAAAGACAAAATGATCACTATGTTACACTATATTACTTTGTAAATATAGCGACACAGTGCGACACATATCATCTCCAGGAGGAAAGAAGAGAAAGAAAGATGAACTGATGCAAAAGTTCAGCCAAAAATAACAGATCTTTTGTTTAATATTGATAAACAACAGGAATATAATAATCCATTGTGTCACACCATGTCATTTGTATCGCTTGTTAAGTCGGTTCTACATTAGTTGCAAGCTGATCGCAAATTTGTTGCGATCAATATAAAGCGTTGATTTCAAAATGCAAGCTTCAGATTGGCTGTCGCAAGAAATTTGCGATCAGTTTGCAACTAATGTAGAACCGACTTTAGAAGGAATATTTTATCTCTTGCTGGAAAAAAACAAAACGCCTTTTATATTTTAACTATTATGCATGATCTACAATGGGCAATAGCAGTAGTGGATTAAGGAGTAGGCGTAGAAATCGACCAATCGTAGTTGAATGTGAGAAAAATAATCAACTATGATTGATTGATTTCGCCTACTCCTTAATCAACTATTATTACTACCCATTGTAGACCATGCATTTGATTAGCCATATTCCCGAAACATCTAATATTTATACTAAATAAGAATCACACAAATACATCGAATGTTAGTCCTTAATGTTGTTTTGTATACCTACAATTCCTATTAGGAACCGTTAGCTTTACTGTACGCCAATGATCTCTCAAGCGACTGCAAATTACTACAATGAACTATAACAGCAACTGATAACGAACCGCTGCATAAGCTGCATTTTGCAAGTGCAAGCGGTTGATAGGCATAACAGAACGCGTCCATGCGATCCGAAGTTGAACTAATTAACTCTCGACGTCGGCGAGTGTTTTTGGCGGGAAGGCATTCGCTCATAATCCTTCATTTTCAATGGGGAAAAACGTGATCGAGATAAAGGCGCGGGAAAGTGCGGTCCCGTTTTTTTCCCCGGTCATGTTGGTTGGTCTTACATCGTACCTGATCACACCTGCCGGTGGACTCTTCTAGCGATTTCGTAATCGCGAGACGACGTGTGATCGTACTGTAACGGTTCTTAAGCTGGCGGCACAGCTGCATCGGTTACGCTATGTCTCTCCGAGGGGGCACGAGAAAGGAAGCTACTCAGTAACGCGCATCAGAGAAAGAAAGAAAGAAGAACAGGAGATAGCAATGGACGGGGATGGGTAGGCCGGGAGGGGAGGAAATGGAGGGGAGAGCGCGTGTTGCCAGGTTGCGCGCGCGGAGCGCTGTTAACGCGAGTGAAACGAGGTGATGGACCGACCGCAGCACGGTCGAGAGACATCTACGATCGATAAAGGCTCGTAGAAGAGAAAGCCCGAAATCGCATCGCGAAAGGGAAGAGAGATAAATAAAGACAGAGAGAGAGAAAGAGAGAGTAAGAGACAGATCGACCGGCAAGCGAACGATCGGCACGCTTTTGTACGAGGTGATAACGCCTTGGCGATTTTTCGCAACGCAGGCAGGACAGCCGTGACGACGACGACGGCGACGACGGTGGGATTAGTGGTGGTGGTGGTGGTGGTAGTGGTGGTGCGCGGCGCCGCGCGATTAATACAATCGGCAGGTGATTTCTCGTCGCTGATTAAAGCGCCATGTCCCGTGATGGACCAATCAGCTGCTTGGTAAACCGCCGTGAGACTTCGAGTCTGTCCACAGACGAATGACAACAAAAGAGACTGATAGAAGTCGCGCGCGCGATAGAGCGAGCCCGAGTTTTTTCGCACGCGAGTGTGTTACCCCCGCGCGCAGCCGAGGAGGCCCAGTATATCCGCCGTTGCGGCCACTTTTTTTCCGTTTACCCCCCGTAGTGCGCCGCGAGTAACGTCGCTTAGCCTGGTGGTGGTGAAAGGTGCCGTGAGGAATATGAAGAGGAGAAATGTCGAGTGCGGTAAGCTTCGGAGGCCCTTGAAACGCAACAAGCTCACCGAGGGGATCTACGGAAGGTAAATTCTCACGCCGCCATATGCGTATTGCGTACGTACGTACGTACACCTACGTCGAGGAATGGCCGTTTTCCTTCGTAATCAAAAAACGTAACCAAAACCCTCCCATCCCCTCCCACCCCTCCTCATCCCCCGCGTCGTTCCTTCTCGCCTATCTCGCGGAAAGACGCGAGTGTTGTAGGTCACGACAACGATAACGATGATAATGATAACGACGACCATAATAATGACGACCATAATAATGACGAGCATGATAATTATGATCATGATGTTGATGACGACGATAACGGCGGTGGCAACGATCGCGCGCGCGAATATCGAGCAACCGCGACGCCGAATCGACGCCGCTCTCGTCTCGCTTGACATTTATCTGTCCTACGATTCTAAGGACATACGAATCTCCTTCGTTCTCACCGCTTTTCTATTTCTTTTTTTTTCCCTTTCGTCCCGCAGTCTCTCATCCAAATGCATCCATCGCATATTTAGCATATACATATGCAACATCCTATGTTCCAATGACTCTTGTTTGTTGTGTATGGCTTACAAGCGGCTAAACACCGCGATAACAGTAAAACAAATGCGATAGTTCAACGGACTTTTCTTTTTCATTCTCTTTTTTTTACTTGGAGAACGTAAGATCTTGTTATGTAAGATCTCTGGTGTTTTCGATGACACCAACTTGGTATCTCATATCTTGTGATCCAACATATTTATCGAATATTTTGAGAAAATATGGCTCACAAAGGTCAGTACAATTTGTTTTTTGTCGTTGACTTGGACTGTATTAAAAACCTTTCTTGTTTTTTTTTTTCAAATGTATATATTTATTTTACTTCAAGTATGTACTAATTGAATTACAAAAAACTAAAGTAAATATAGAAACATACAGATGTGTCAGTCACTGTGAGTTGTAATCTAGCATATGGCAAACATAACATGTATTAAAATAATTATATTTGTTTCAGTACCTTGCTTTATCTGAAGTTTCTTCTACTATGGGCCATGGTGATCTTGGCAGACTTCATTTTGGAATTCCGTTTTGAATTTTTGTGGCCATTCTGGCTACTCCTCCGAAGCGTTTACGATTCCTTTAAATATCAAGGCTTGGTAAATGTCATGTGTTATGCAATCCAACATTATGGGATATATGTAAAATCTCATTGTTTCTTTTTTCTCTCTGTTTTAGGCCTTTTCTGTATTTTTTATTTGTATTGCACTTACGTCAGACATGATTTGCTTCTTTTTTATCCCTGTGCATTGGCTGTTTTTTGCTGCCAGCACTTATGTTTGGGTGCAATACGTCTGGCATACAGGTATGTAGAAAAATGTGTTTGAAATATGGACAAACATGTAATGTACATCTGTCAAATGTGATTTCTTCATACTATTGATATTGGTCCATGACATACTTGCAGGAATTCAATTTTTTAAGAATTCTGATTTTTTTAAATAGATGTAAGAAATTAATTAAAATATTCATATTTTAAATAGATAAAGGAGTATGTCTACCAACTGTGATGCTGTGGCTACTATTTCTATATATAGAAGCAGCAGTGCGGTTGCGTGACTTGCGTCATATGCCATTTCACCTAGACCTCTGTCGGCCGTTTGCAGCACATTGGTAATAGTTTTATCTTTGATTTTTTTTTTATGTAGATGAATATATCATTAAAAGATTATGCTTCGTAAATATATTATTATATATAGATATATATATAAATCTAATAGGATAATCTATAATATTTATGTCTGTGCTCCAAGTAAAGTTTTCTGCATTGCGTATTTCTAGCATTGGCTATCCTGTAGTTACATTGGGCTTTGGTTTCAAGAGCTATGTAGGCTACAGAATGAGGCAGGTTAGTAATCTTCAACAATCTTCATTGTCAATCATTGATTTATATTATTATAAATACATATATTCTGTACAATAAGATATTTATCATAGCGCTTATATTATTCCAATTCATTCTTGCTCTCGATAGAGAAAACAAAAAGATGTGGCAAAGGAGAACGAGTTCTACCTACAATTACTGCAGCAAGCACTGCCTCTAGAGCAACAAGCTATGTCAATGCAGCAAATCCAACCGCAAATGCAGCCACAGACACAGCAGGTCACTGCGTCGTTAGAGCAACATGTGAAAACTCAAACACACAAATTGAGTCCACAGTACAATCCAAGCCCTGAAAAAAGCAGAGGTAGCTTGTATTTATTATCAACTATTGTCCCATGTGAATACAGTATTGTTATAATGATTACACGCATTTTTATGTTTCTATTTGTTCTTTTAGAGGGCAATAACAATTCCATAGAAACGAACGTACAAAATGGCGGAGTACACACTAGTAGCCCAGTCACATCACAAACACAGACTGCTACTACCAAAAGTACTCATAGAAAATCCTTAGACAAGAGTGAAAAGCAGGAAGAGCAGCATAATAAACACAATGTATCAAATAATTCACCGTCGGACAAAAGCGACAAGAAATTTATACACAGTAATGGAAGTACAGTATCGCACAGTGACATACAACTCATCGAAAGGGTGGGGTATGGTCGATTTCATACTCAAAAATGTATTTCTCTTTAATCACACTTTAATTTCATGTAAAATACTTATCGACACACAATTTCTTCTTAAACAGATCTGTAAATGATTTTGACATAAATGAGATAGAAAAGGACAAATCTATTAAGGGTTGCGGACATACTACAATAAAATCACAAACAAACGGTTCGGTAGCAGGAAAATGGAATAACGTGAAAGAAAGTCGAGATTCATCCTCGACTACTAATGCTCAACGAGAACGTAAAACTCGGCAGGTTAAAAATACGAGTGAAATCACAGCGGAGCAACAGAAACAGCAAGACGATTATTATCAAAGGTATATTATATGAGAGGAATTTTTTTTGTAAATACATTATAAGTTTCTATTGAAATTCTGCTAATCCAACATATTTTTGAAGGCACAGATTGAAACTATTACAAATCTGTGTGTGGTATTCGTACTTCACAAATCCTATACCGTCTTGTATCCATCTAGTAGACTTCCTGTCAATTTCTTCAGCATGATTTGTCGTTGAAATAGGTTACTGGTGTGTCGCAGGCTCGAGGCAGACATAAAACGTTTGAAGTCAGATTTGCAATCAAGTCGACAGATGGAACAAGAATTACGATCGCAAATCAATGTCTTGCTCAATGGAGAGAGACAAGCTAAGGGTGACATTCAACAACTCCAACATGATAACGATCAATTGCAAAGCAAGTAAGTAAATTTTTTAATAATTAATAACTTTATGAATTATTTAATAATTGTAAATTATTTTTGTAATGTTACTATAAATTTATATAATACATATAAAAAGAGTCTATCAGTTAATGTCTGCTTTATACAAAAATTTTATTTTTCATTGTAATTTCACATTTATAAATTTGAATTTTAAATATATTGGGTTGTCCGGAAAGTTCGTGCCGATGTTGAAGGAAAATTGAAACGCAAATAATTTAAATTTTAGTATACATTTATTAAATTATATAAGTTAGTCGGCACGAATTTTCCGGACAATCCAATACAATGCTATATTAGATGTAATAAAAAGAAATCCATTATTTTTCCATTCAATTTCATGCAAAAATAATAGATTTCTTTTTACTACACCTAATATATATGTAATGTTAACATATATAATAATATAATCTATAAATCTATTGAAACTCCTTTTGCTTTGTTTTTTTCATTTTTTTATAATAAAAAGACTTTTTATTATCTGTTTCGTGTTAGTATCTGAACAAAAAAGATATACATGTAGATTTATATATCTAAATAAATTATAAAGTTTTTTTTTAAATAATTTGTTCAAATTTTAATTAAATTAAAATACATAATGTTTGTTATATTATTAATCATGCTTATCTTATATTGTTATGATTTGGACATACTGGATATACTGGAATTATTAATCATTACATTCTCTTTTTTCATGTATTAATATTAAAACACAAGCGTATCACATTTAATAGGACACATGATAGTTATTCTTTTAATTTTTTAAAATTAAACATGAAAATATGTAAAAGATATCTGAAATTTTATTTAATTTTAGTTTATATTATAAAGAAAA